GGAGAAAATTGAGGAAATGTGGAAAAAAATGGAGGAAACGTGGAGAAAAAGTGGAGGAAATTGAGAAAATGTGAGTAAAGGTGGAGGAAATGTTGAGGAAAGGTGGAGGAAATTGAGGAAATGTGGAGAAAAGGTGGAGGAAATGGAGGAAAGGTGGAGGAAACGTGGAGAAAAGGTGGAGGAAATGGAGGAAATGTGGAGGAAACGTGGAAGAAATTGAGGAAATGTTGAGGTGATGTCAATGTGGAGTCAAAATGGTGGAGGAAATATGGAGGAAGTGGAATTCAGTGTAACACCAATGCAGTGTTAATGTGGATGGGAAATAAAGAGGAAATGGAGTGGAATAGAAGTGGAGTGGAAGAGGAAATAAAGAGGAAATGGAGTGGAAGTGTTAAAGAAACAAAGAGGAAGTGAAGTAGAAATAAAGATGAAATAAAGATGAAATGGAGTGCAAGTAGAGTGGAAATAAAGAGGAAGTGCAGTGGAAGCAGAGCAGAAATAAAGAGGAAATGGAGTGGAAGGGAAAAGGAAACAAAGAGGAAATAGAAATGAAGATGAAGTAAAGAGGAAATAGAGTGGAAGTGGAGTAGAAATAAAGAGGAAGTGGAGTGGAAGCAGAGCAGAAACAAAGAGAAAAGAAAGTGGAGTAGAAGTGGAGTGAAAAAGGAAATAAAGAGGAAGTGGAGTGGAAGTGGGGCAAATGTGGAGCAGAAACAGAAATAAAGAGGAAATAAAGGGGTAATAAAGTGGAGTGGAAGTAGAGAGGAAATAAAGTGGAAACTGAGTGGAAGTAAAGAGAAAATAAATGGAAATAAAGGGGAAATAAATGAAGTGGGGTGGGAGTAGGGAGGAAATGAAGTGGAAATGGAATGGACATGAAGAGGAAATGGAGTGGAAGTGGTGATGAAGAGATGAAGTGGAGTGAATGTAGAGCAGAAGTGCAACAGAAACAGAAATAAGGAGGAAGAAAAGAGGAAATAAATAAAGGGGAGCAGAAGTAAGGAGGAAATAAAGTGGAAATGGAGCAAAAGCGGGGCGAAAGTGAAGCAGAAACAGGAACGAAGAGGAAATAAAGAGGAAATTAATAAAGTGGAGGGGAAGTGAAGAGGAAATGGAGTGGAAGTGGTGAAAAGAGGAGATGAAGTGGAGCGAATGAGCAGCAGAAATGGAGCAAAAGCAGAAATAAAGAAAAAGTAAAGAGAAAATGAATAAAGTGGGGTGGAAGTAAGGAGGAAATAGAGGAAGTAGGGAGGAAATAAAGAGGAAATGGAGCAGAAGTGAAGAGGAAATAGAGTGGAAATGGTGATGAAGAGATGAAGTTGAATGAATGGGGAAGTGGAGCAAAAACAGAAATAAACAGGAAGAGGAAATAAAGTGGTGGGGAAGTAAAGAGGAAAGAAAGAGCAAACGGAGCAGAAGTGGAGCGGAAGTGAAGAGGAAATGGAGTGGAAGTGGTGAAAAGAGGAGATAAAGTGGAGCAGAAGCGCGGCGGAAGTGGAGGAGAAGCAGAAATAAAGAGGAAGTAAAGGGGAAATAAATAAAATGGAGTGGAAGTAAGGAGGAAATAGAGGAAGTAGGGAGGAAATAAAGAGAAAATGGAGCAGAAGTGAAGAAGAAACAGAGTGGAAATGGTGATGAAGAGATGAAGTTGAATGAATGTGGAAGTGGAGCAAAAACAGAAATGAACAGGAAGAGGAAATAAAGTGGTGCAGAAGTAGAGAGGAAAGAAAGAGCAAACAGAGCAGAAGTGGAGCGGAAGTGAAGAGGAAATGGAGTGGAAGTGGTGAAAAGAGGAGATAAAGTGGAGCGGAAGCCCGGCGGAAGTGGAGCAGAAGCAGAAATAAAGAGGAAGTAAAGGGGAAATAAATAAAATGGAGTGGAAGTAGGGAGGAAATAGAGGAAGTAGGGAGGAAATAAAGAGGAAATGGAGCGGAAGTGGGGCGGAAGTCGATGTGAATGTCAGCGTGTTCTCTATGCAATGTCAACATGATGTGGTGGCACCGAAGGCGGGTGGGGTGAAGGGAGAACCACCCCTGGCAGCTCATTAACGACGCTAATTAACATTGCTAATTAGCAGTAGGCATCTCTGTGAACCGCAATGAGGAAGTTTCTGTATTCCTGATCCAGATCTGCTCCAGAACTCATCATTTCCATTGTGGAAAACCTCACATCCACGCTCCTGCCTCGTTAACGGTGCTAATTAACACCTCATTAGCATCAACTACCTCTGTCCAGCTTGATTACAACCTCTAATTAAGAGATTAAATCCCTAATTAAGAGCCTCTGTATTCTCAGAGTTGGGTTTTATGATCGGGAATGGCCTCTGCGTTCTGCTGTACCACCACCTCCGTGCTCCTGCCTCATTAGCGTCACTAATTAACAGCACTAATTAGCAATAGGGAGCTCATTAGATCTTAATTAGACTCCCGAGTTCTAGCCAAAGGGTTTGGAAACCAGAACCAACTCCAGAACTCGGTGCCCCCATCATTTCCACCACAGAACCATCTCCTCCCTGCTCCTAACTCATTAGTTCCACTAATTAATCGCGCTAATTAAGAGCTCTAGAACATAATTAGAAACCTGACAGACCCTAATTAAGGGCTCTGTGTTATTCTGGATGGGTTTGGAGAACCCAACCAGCTCCACCATGTGGCATCCTCATCATCTCCATCACATACACGCCGCTATCTCGTTAGTTCCACTAATTAAGACAACTAATTAGCATCAGGCCATCCCCACGGATTATAATTAGTGGCTCTGCGTTCCTTTTAATGAGTTTTGGGGAACCCAAATCAGCTGCAGCACTTGGGAGTCCCCATAATCTCCAAGGTGAATCCGTCACCTCCACACTCCTCCCTCGTTAACCGCGCTAATTAACACCGCTAACTCACGCAGCGCCGCTAATTAGCACCACAGATGATAATTAAGAGCTCTGTTTTCCTGCAGACAGGATCTGGGATTGCAGAACGGCCCCGGTCCCAAACACAGAACCATTCCTGCACGCGGCCAGCTCGTTAGCACCGCTAATTAGCACCGGTAATGAGCGCCGTTAATTAACGTTTTTGATCAGTGCCGTTAATTAGCGCTACTAATTAACGCTACAAATTACCCCATGGTTGTACTGAGGGAGCTTAGTGGCTGTTTGCTGTCCCCGTCTGACCTGAAAGCCGCCCCTAATTAGCAGTGCTAATTAACGGCGGCGCTAATTAGCGCCAGGCTGTGGGAATACCGCTAATTAGGGGTGAAAAAGGGGAGGGGGGAAATG